TTACTTTTTAAGTAAAATCATATACTAACTAATGAATTAAATGTTTAGATGTACCTCTTTAAACTTAGAGTTTACATTAAAAAATTTAATGAATTATAGAAGATTTATTATTGAGGATGTTGATCTAGTTAATGAATCTACACCAAGCTATCCATGTTCAAGTTAATTGTTTACTATCTAGGTTGGTCTAGTGATAGTTTAAAAAAATAGTTGCTATTGTTTTAGATTTGTCTATATATAGGTTAATTCATCCTTATTTTTCTCATTTTTTTATTCATGATTTTAAATATGTTTAGTTATGATGGTTTTGGAACTCATAAATACGATCCGATAGACCCATTTAATCGATTAGAATTAAAAATTCTCTAATAAAAAACTTTGAGTTTTGAAAGACGTAAACTGAAATTTATAGGATAAAAAATAGTAAAATGTTTATGCATTAATGTAAAGATTAAAGCCTTGTCTCATGATTTACATGGGGTTTGAACAAACCTTTTCTTTTTTTTCTTATTTTAAAGACACTAGCACCTTCTTTAGGATTCATAATTAAATCCCAATGGAATTGATTCCATGTAGTGAATCACAAAGTTAATTAACCCTAATTATTAATCTTTAGATGGTACTTTATTTCTTGAAAAATGCCCCCCAACAACCCTAATTATTTATCTTTTTTCTCTCTCAAACATCTCCATCACTTTTTCCTTTTTTTTTTTTTTAAAGTTTGTTCCCAAACTTTATGTTCCTTTTTAGTTCCAACGCAAGTATCTTAGACAATTTCTTGCCCAGTCGCCATCACCCCAAGGACTTGTTTGTTCCTTCTCTTGTTTGCTTTGCTTCAAACCCTATCACAAAAGGTTGACTGCAATTAGGAATTACATGCAATATATTATCAATGTACATATATAGGGTCGAACTGAAGGTGGTGACGGGACTCAAACAGTCACTATCTCTCAATTTTTACTTTTTATTCTAAATCAAATCATTAATTAAATTCATAATTTTTTATACTTATTCTTTAATCACCTTGTTATATAAAATTTTGAAGCTATTTACTATACATATACACACCATCACTTAAACATTCAAAAAAATTTCAAAACTTTTAAACTCATTTATTAATTAAACAATAATACATCAAATATAAACCCTAACTTAAAACGATCGATGTTTATCTAACGAGACATGTCATGTCAACGTCAAGAATGGGCCATGATTCCATTGATTTGGTTTTCGCCCTGGGAGCCCCCCCACGCTCTATCATTCTCAAGCATGCAAACGTGGCCCGAAGGCTCTTCCATGATTCAATCCCTCCAAGCAAATTTGTCAATCAAGCATGGGACCCGACTGACTTTGTTTGTTGCAAGTAAAAAATTTGGACCTCCAAGGCAAACAATACCATTTGTTTCCTCTTTGTCTTGTTTTTGAAAGTAAACTAACAATAAATAAATAACTAAATTCCCCCATTGTTTTCCCTTTGTCTCATCTTTTAAGTGCATGAATGGAAATATAATAAATAAATACTACATAGTAACAATTCTCTTTCTCATCTTAAAGTGCATGAATGAAAGCTAAATATATATATATAGATATATAAAAGAAAAAAAGGAAGAGAGAATCATATTATGTTATTGGAATTTTTAAAAGCAAGAATGAAATATTTGGTAGACCTCGCATATGCTTATTTTGTCATTATCATGCTTATAAATTTATCTTTATTATTATATATAAATCTAAAATATTTGAATAGATTTCTTACATGGTCACTTTATTCATTGAACTTCAATTTATCCTAATTTGATTATTTGAACTTTTTAAATTGTACCCAATATAGTTACCTTTAAACAAATTCGATTGAAATTAATGATGAAACAATGATATAAGTAATTATTCAAATAGTTATGTTATTTAAAAAATTTATTTTTTCCCATTATTTTCCTAGATTTTTCATTCTAACAAAAGCATATAACAAAAATATAAAAGAAGAAAAACTAATCACGAAAATAAATTAACATAAAATTTTTTAAATAACATGATTGTTCAAGCGGCGGTTATCATATTACTATATTATCATTTATTTAGATGAAATCGTTTATGATATAGATTTTAAAAATTTAATAATTAAATTGAGACAAATTAAAGTTTGGGGACATCAATTTAATGACTATCTATGAAATTTACTCATTTATACCTTTCTTTATGAAAATTAGTCTTGGAACTTAAAACCAGCAACAAATAGTTGTTGGGGGTGATTGATTGTTTTCTCATAGTATATTTAGAATCATTAAATCAAATGGTACAAAGTCAGTCAAAAAAATGTTACGAGGATCCTATGAATGTTCATGATTCATTAATTTCATTTATGTACCTACCATTATTTGTTGGACTAAATGTAGGCAATGGCCTACCAATTTAATGAAGGTAAAGATATTTATTGGATTTTATCTTCTTTTTCGCCTGGAATAATCTAAAGTTTAGGTTTCAACTCTCAATATATATGTTTTGGTTTAACTTGTCATAAAAAATAATAATAAATTTCCTCGATAAGTTAATCCCTTTTCAAAATCTTAAAATTCGATTTTTTTGTCTAATTACACTCACATATATTTTTGTTATTTTTTTTACTTTTGTGAAAATTAAAATTAGAATTTTGATTTTGATGTATTTTATATTAATATATGGATTTTTTATTAAATATTTAATTCTTTTTAATGTGTAAAATTAATAAAAATTGTGAAAAATAAATTTATAATATAAAAAGTTAAAAATGTTAGATATTTATTTAATAAGCAAAAGAGTAATGAGAAGGATTAATTAAGAGCATTAATAATTGATGACAATAAGATTAATTACGGCGGGACAGGTGGCGGGCAGTGCGGTTCTGTACCGGCGCCGGCTTTTTCGTAAAGAATCTCTGTACTGCAAACACCCCTCAAAGAAATTTTAAAAATAATGATGGGATTGGACGGTGAAGATTAGGCAGAAGTAAAATCCAACGGCTTTGACACGTCTTTCTGTTCCTAAATAGTACCCACCTGGCGAAAAGCAGCCCCATCTTCAGAGCCATAACGCATTAACGTCCCACAATGCCTATCTGGTCTTCACTTTTTTTTAACCTACTTTTCTCCTCTTTCATTTTGAGAACTCACTCGCTACATTTAAATAATATAAATATTTATGTAATTATTTATTAATATGAGATTTTATATTAAAAAAATATTAAAATCGCAATAAACTCAAATCAAGATATTTTCTCTTTTTTATATGTAAAAGAGTCAGCCAACAAGAACCTCACATAATTAAATAAAATAAAATATTATAAATTTTATATTAATAAAAAATTACATGAATCTTAACTTTATATAAATAAAGATTTTCTTTTAAGTTGAAAATATAAACTTATATATATGTATCTCGATGTTATATCGATTATTGAAAATTAATAATTAATAAGTTTGCAACAACTAGATATTTACAAAACAATTAATAGTTAATTCATCCAAAATAAAAAAGAAAGAGTTTGATGTGTATGTATATTAACATTTGTCATTAGTCAATCATGCAAAACTTAAGATAATACTGTAAATCAATTATTTGATAAGCATATGAAAATGAAAGCATAAGATAGTGCAAATATGAGATAGATTTCGTAGTTTTCTTGTAAGCAATCCCTTTTCTAATGTCAAAGAATGTGTTGCTTTTTGATAGGTTTAGGGTTAAAAAATGGATTGGAAAAAATTGGAATTCATTGAGAGGCATATGCATGCCAAGATTAAGTAAGAATATACAAGAAGATTTTTTGCTATAAGCTTATCTTAAAAGCTACCAAATTATGGGGTTATGATTAATTAATTAATTAATTAATTAAGCAGTCATCAATATTTTAATCCAAAGTCGAATTAATAAATTAAATCAAAGCCATCCTTTTTTTTTTTTTGCCAAGGAAAATGAAGTGGGGTGGGGAAGATTGGAGAATTTCACCTAGACGGGTATGTTTGAGTTGCATATATAAATATATAAATATATAACTGCTTTTTTGTCTCTTGTCCTACTCCCAAAAATAAATTAAAAAATCACATCATTTGGTAGTTCAGAAAATAAATACCTGAAAGGTAGCCCTTTAATGTTCCTTTCTTGTTTTTGCTAAGTGTTAGTTTTAGGGTTTATCTTGTTGCAATAATTTAGCTAGGCTGTATATATATATAGATAGCTTATGGTTCTTCCATGGGCTTTGTTTGCCCTTTTCATTTTTTATTTTTTGGTTTTTTCCTCTTGAATAAGAGCATCATTTTCGCAACAATATTAAGCCAAAAGCATGGGCTGTTGTTGTAAGTTTTAATCCAATTTGAGGTGTTCTTTTTGAATGTTTGGTGATGATATTCTTTCACTACCCAAAGCTTTCAATTATTTATTTTCATACGTCTTACTGGGTTTTGTATAGGGTTTATGTTCATTTTTTTGTTCATTCGGTTCAATTTAAAAATTTTGAATATAAAATTAACCCAACTCTCTTTAAAAAAAAAATTGAACTGATCGAATCATTTCGTGACCTTAAAAAGCACTAGGAGGGAGAAGGGATGGAGATGATTGCCATGGTCACACTGTTTATCTCGCTCAATGACCAAAGTTTAAGATTCACATGTATGTAAATGCAAATATATTTGACAAAAGCAAAATATATATATATATATATATTTAACACTATAACAACTTAAAATTTGAAAAAAGAGAGGAGAAATTCAAGTAATAAATAATAAACGTTCAAATAAGCAGAAACAAACAAAATAAGAAGAAAAAAAAAGGAAAAATGAGAAAATGAAATGGAAACTAAAGTAAGGGATACGTGGCAGTTAACAAGCACTAGAAGTCAAATCGTTGGCTACGCTAATCGTCCTTGATACTGCTCTCTCTAATAGCAGTGTGGGTCCCACTCAACATCTCCTCCCCTATCTCCCTGTCTATTTATTTTTCTCACAAAATATTTCCATTAACCAAACGCAAACTCCCCTCCCCACCTCCCTCTCTTTCTCCTCAGTCTCCTCCCACTCTCTCCACAACCATATTTCACAGTAAAGAGAGGGGAAAAAAATACAGTGAAAGAGAAGAAAAGAGAATGAAAAATGGTGGGATTAAGTGTAGTTTTGGAGAATCAAAAGAGTGGTAGTATTATAATCAGTAAGAAAACTATGTTAATCAACAGAAACAACAGCAGCAGCGGTGGCAAAGCTTGTTCTTCGAGTTGTGTTTTGTTGTCTGCTCGTACAAATTCTCAGTCAAACTACCCGGTTCCTGCTTTTCTTGAACAATGCTATCTTTGCAAACAGAAACTCTTACCTGGAAAAGACATCTACATGTACAAGTAAGTTTCTTTTTTTCTTTTTCCAGATCTTTTAGTTTATCCAGCTTTTTTGCCTTTGACTGTTTCTTGGCAAGACCCAGTTTTTCCTTCTTGCCTTTCTGCATGGTTTATGGTATTAACTTTCATGGGTTCTTTCATGTTTTGAAGATTAATGTCAGTAACTGATTAGGGTTGTCTTTCCGTTTTGGTTAGAGGGGACAGGGCTTTTTGTAGCGTGGAGTGTAGGTGCAGGCAAATTTTCATGGACGAAGAAGAGACTTTAAAGAAAGAGAACTGTTCTTTGGCAGCCATGAAACCTTCAACCTCCTCGGCTTCTGCTCCTTCTTCATCTTCTTCGGCTTCTCGCCACCGCAAAGCTGCAAGAAACCGAGCGGGTGGTTTCGCTTATTGATAGACAAAAAAAAAAAAGCCAAGAACTGGAAAAATGGATTTTTCTTTTTTTTTTTTTGGTTTTGCTCCTTTGTTTATTTTTTTCTTTTCAACTGTATTTTCCAGTTTACCCTTGGCTAATTTTGTAATGACAATCCTGTCCTCTATCGTTTTGATTCCTTGAATTAAGCCAAAACGCATGTATTTATAGACTGTTTTTTAATTTGACGAAGAATAATTTAATTAAATAAACTAACAACTTTTAATGTCGAATTAAATGTTAAGAGAGAACAAATCAATGGGAGCCCATGGTTTGGTTTACCTGAAAAAAAGGACAAAAAAGGAGGATTAGAGGGAATTTTAATGACTGTCAAGGGCATTTACGGTACTTTAAATAACGTGCAAATCCTGATTAAATTTTAACCACTAGATTTAATTTCGGATTAAAAAAATTAATAGTAGCAGTAGCAGATTTTTAAGAGTTTTAAGGCTCATAAGAGTTATCGTTTTTTATGGGGACAATGGAATAGTGTTTCTTTGTTGCCTTCCAAAACGACAATGTTTCATTAAATATTGTTCCAATCTGACGCTTAGTTTTTATTGTGGAGGGAATGAAGGAATTAGTAGTTTCTTTTGGAGAGAGGAACAATGTTTATGGTCCCCATAAGAAGATACTAGTTGCAATTAAGGATCATTAATTTTGTATATTTTTCTTTCAAGTCCTCTTCCAAATTCTGTATTCTGAATTGTGTAGTTTACAATATTCTCAATTATTAAAAAATAAAATAAAATCAACAAGATCGTAATTTAATAAAAATTCAAATTCAAGTGCAAGTACTTCTGGCTTAATAACTTTTTGAACCCTAATCATGTAATTATGAAATTCTGAATTTGTATCGTAATGGTATTTTCAATGATTTAGAAGAAGAATAAAATTTAAAAGCATCGTAATTTAATAAAAATTTATGTTCATGTTCCACTGATTTAATAATTTTTTAAACCTCAATTATGTAATTTTCAAATTCTGAATGGTGTATTGTATGATATTTTTATTGATTTTAAAAAAGAAAAAATTTTGAAAGTATTGTGATTTAATAAAAATCCAAGTTCAAGTATTATTGACTTAATAATTTTTTAAACCTCAATCGTGTAATTTTTAAAAATTAAATTTAAGTTGATAATAACAATCGACCTAAATTTTTATATAAATTTTAACAATTAAAATCTCATCAGCATAATTTACATTAAACTACTCACGTTTTGATACCAATTGTGACAGGTTTAAGTTCAAACATCACAGACTCAATAATTTTTTGAATTTAAATCACATAATTTTTAAAAATTTAAACTCAAATTAATAATAATGATTGACTGATGTTAATAATTATATTTATATAATAAAATTATATTGATTTAATCTATACTCTTGTACGTATAATTACTATAATTATGTTTCCCTGTTTTTTGTCTCTCTCTCTATTTGTCGGTTTATTTTCTAATGGAAAGAAAAGTGTCTGTTTTTGGGAGCCTTTGTCTGTTTGCAGCAAAATAGCAAAGCTGCCCCCCTCATTGAGCTTGGATTTAATTCATGGGTGCCCACTGTATCTTTCATTAGGGCAAAACTTTAAGTACAGGTGACAGGTAGGATGTGTTTTTTTATGACACGTAACACTTATCAATTGGGGCATATTTTACGAATTTATTTTCCTCTGTAAAATTATTTAGAATAATAATTAGCAGCAGCAGCAGAAGCGACGGGGGGTGATGCTTGAATTAATATGTGAAATCGTAAATGGTGGAAGACACTAATGGGAGAGTGCCAATAAATAAAAAGTTATAAATTCAGTAAGCTTAAGGAACAATTCAGTGAAAGGATGAACAAATTGATTATGTAGATAGCAATTATTTAATTTTTTTTGTGTAATTTAATCTACGATTTAAAATTCGAATATCAGATGACATTTCATTATGAATCCAAAAAGAGTTTTATCTGTTTTTGTCAAAATATTTGTCTATGAAGAGATATTACATTAGAAGATTGTACAATATAGAATTACATTGATTACTCTTAACATTTGAGTAGTTATGATACATTAATTAACAAGTATTTAATTAAGGATGTGAGAGGGAGGAATCACCTCAGTGATTAGGTGAGTCAGAAAAAATTGCATGGAAGGAGTGTGGAGGATGGAGTAAGACAAACAAGGGAACAAGAAGGGAGTCCCATAGTGTTGGTCCAATAAGGGGAAAGAAAGAAACAAAAGGAGAATAAGATGGGGGGAAAATGGTATACAACATTTTGGGGTGAAAATCATTGAATTGGTAAGAAAGTTAGGTGCAAAAGCTTGAATAAGCAAAGAATAAAGAAAAGGGTTACAAAATTAGGAGCATAGTCCATAGAATCTTATACTTTTCTGTGTGCCACTGCCATAATGTCCATGCAGTTTTGATAAAAAAAAATGGAACCCTGGAAAGGAAACCATAAGATGAGAGTGTACTAGTTTGGAATAAATACATAGGGTTTGCCACTGGCTTGTCTTTATGCTCTCTGCTACAGTCCACAAAATCTTCCCCTGGAAAGGGACAGTTAGTTCCTTTGGCTTTTCTTTTTTTCACCCATCTTTTGTCCCTAAAAAAGCACAAAAATCATTCAATCGTAGTGGCAACTTTATGTGTTCAAACATGGTTTGGTATGTTGGGTGGAAACTGAACTAGAAATTGGTCTGGGTTTTAGTACATAGATTTTGGGGAATTTTGAAGAAGAGAAAAAGGGAAGGGTGGAACTGTGGGGCTGAAAGAAAGAATTGAGTCACATTGCAGAGATCATGTTGGGATTTTCTGCAGGCTAATCCAATAGGAGAAACCCCAAGTGGGGGAGAGGCTTTGTTTGATAGAGAGTGATTGGTTAAAGGGTGGTCAGAAAGGTTTTTTCTTGTTTACACCAATCAATGGGCCTTTGCCAAGGTGGGAAAATTGAGACTGACGCTTTCACCGAATTGCATCTGTTGTTGTTGGTGAGCTCCAAAGTGATGTGAGTGAAGAAGCAGTGAGGAGGAACTCTTTGATTTTTTGACACGGTTCAGCCATGCAATGACAGATTGAAACTTGTTTCTCCACTCTCTAGTTTTGTGCCAAGAGAAAACAAAAACACTGCCTGCTATTACCCACCTGTCGCTTGATTACATCTCAGCAGGTGGCTTCAGAAAGACCCAGGTTTCTCTTTTCAATTTGGAAGGCATTTAAATATGAAACCGTCTGGGTCGCAAGCTAATGTGTTTAGCAAAACATATCTTACTCCTTCATGCCTCCAGCACATCCAGAAACCACCGGTAGCAGATCACTTTGAATGATAAAAAGTACACATTCTCAGGTTATAGGGCAGGAAAATGCTCCATTTGTTCACTGGAAAACGGAATCTTAACCGAAAAAAGAGATTGTAAGTAATTAGTGAGCAAACTAAGGGAAACCAATAGGCAAATGACCGCAGTTGACATCCATGGTTCAAACCCAGTTTAGGTTGTAATAAAATATACAAGTTAGGCACAAGAACTTTAGGACACAGAGGATTCACATACAAGCAGGTTTGAATTAATACATACAGTTCCTAAGTATAACAGCATAAGCAAAAGCCTCTCATGAATCACCACTCTTCATCCATGTAACAACATGATTAGCCAGATTTGAAGAGCAAAACTGCTTTCTGATCTAAATAGAAATAAACAAAGTGGTTTGTCTCATGAGTGACGTATGAACCTGCACCAAAAAAATACAAACGGATATTAATGCAACATGATAGTGAAATTTAAACTCTAATTTGTTTTCACATAAGCACAAGAGGATTGCAAAGGGAGCAAAGACCAAAAGACAGTTCCATCAAAAACTAGTTCAAGACCTGAAAACTGGATGGAAATTTTCATGGAACATAGAAATCCGAATGAATAGGTTCTTATTTATGTACATAGAACAAGCATTACAACTGCAAATGCACTTTATGGATCTACATTACTGAGTACCCATTACAGAAAAAAAGCCTAGGTACAGCACACTGAAAGGATTAATGAACCCAATAACTGAGGAAGTATGACGCTACCAGCGCAAGGTTAGAAATATTGGTAATTTATCTAGGTTGTGTCCGTTAGAGAATCAGCATGAGGACTACAAATATTTAGCAGACATCCACAAAATCTGGAATGAGCAAGGCTCCATGCTCCAAAGAGAATATAACTTGGTTAAGCTACCAACGCATTCCTAAGATTGTAGGAAACAACATTAGGTGATATTTAAGAACTATAGCTACCTCTTTCAAAATGATAGTGATATTATTTCTCAACCAGAGAACGTGTCCACAGAAAAATAGCTGATGAAGAGGGTGAATGCGAATATAGCTTATACTCATACTAAATGAATCTTTTTCCCAATTTAAAGAAAAACTAAAAAATTGTGTTGCAAGGACAAACTAAAACGAAATAGTGCGACATGGCCCATAGATGTAACTGTAATCTAAATATAGGACATAGTGATTCAGAAAATATGTGCAAAGGACAGCAAAGCTTAATTTCTAACATATAACTGTTACTGCAATATAAATCTAGGATATGGGGATTAGAAAAAATGTATGCAATAAACATTTGACTTATATAATGTGTTTTTTTCAGCAATGAGCATCTGATCCATAATACAAGTAAATAGTTGGTTAATGACCCTAAAAGCCGTAGACACAGACTGAGGGCAATAAAAACTCATAGAAGTCAGAACACAAACCAATTTATTTTGTCCAATGGTTAAGCAGCTAATGATATATTTCACAGAAGTTATGGCCACGCATCTATAGTCATCAGGTAAATATCAACATAACTACAACGATAGCAAATAGAGTCAGGTATAATTAGAGTCAAATTCAGCATTCAAACTTTACTAAAAAATTAGATAAAAGAGTTTCCTTCCACATTTCCATTTTTAGGACCCAAACTTTTTTCTTTGGTACCTATGGAGGTCCATTGGCCTCTTGATTATTCAAAGGGATGCAACCTATTCCATCCCATGAATCCCATCTCCCCCCCCCCCACCCCCCTCCTCTCTAAATCTGAAATTTTGAGCTTGAGACCTCTAAGCTGAAAGTTCCAAGTTCTAATCACTTGCTGAATCAATAGAAAAACATATAGTATAACATGTGATACACAATATGAAATGGAGGTGCATTCTTAATGCCATCAACTAAATGGAAACAAAATCAGTAACAAGGCTGTTGGAGGTATCAAATAGGTAATTAAGCACATTGATGAAGTACTGTATATTAGCCAATCCAACTAATCCAAGCATAATTAATGCCCAGACTCATACCCTTATGAAATCCACTATGAAATTAAGTAACATAATGAAAAATAAAAGCAAAATACATGTAAACAGTATGAACTGCACATGAGTTAGTGTAAAGAATTTTTTTAAAGTGAAGTCACTAAAGCTACGATCCTTGATCAAACATAAAAGTTATCATAAATAGTCATTCCTAGAATAACCAGATAAAGTTTGAGACTTAAAGATGGAGTTGATCCTTTTATCAAAAGCAATAAATCCAGTACAGGTATTTGTTGATCTTAATCCAGGAATTCCATAACAATGGAAAAGCTATGTTTACATTACCAACTCTAAACACAGAAGGTCTAAGATTAACACAATCCAATCTAACATCTATAGCATTTATGATATCTAATGTACGTGTAAATTACATCTCATTTAAGCCTAGATCTACCATGATTTCAACTAAAACAACATCATTACTTAAAAGAAATTAATTTGCAGATAAGACGTTCCATAAAAATAGTATTTCTGATACCAAAATTACTAGAGCATAAATATATCAAATCTAAACGGAAATTGGGTTACCAAAATTGCGACCAACGATGCAATGCCAAGTGGGACCATGTCTCTTATCGAATTCTTTCTTTATGTGCTCTGCTACATCTTTCTCTACATTGTTCTTCTCAAATGCCTGATCAAAACCCCAGAGCAAAAAGCACTCAAAGTCAGCAAATTTACAATAGTTACCAACAATCCAAGACCAAATGATGAAGACCCAGAAACGAAATCGAATCATAAACCGTAAAAAACAACACCGAATCGAGTAAAAAAGGAAGCTTAAAGTAAAGAGAAAGAGAGCTAACAGAGATGGCTATATCGACAGCTTCTTTTTGCATGTCATCTTTCATGTCGGCGCTTTTGATGATGACTTTCTTTCCCGTTGCAGCAGCCGATGCCGCAGTAGTCACGGGAGATGGCTTCCGGTCGTCGGTTGTCGGTTTCACCGTCAGAGCTCCGGTGATGCTTCTCTTTGCTTCTTCAGTGCTCATTTTTTTCTTGTTTAATTTGGTAAAAAAAATAAAAAGAAAAAGAAGCCTTCTGTTTTCGTTTTTCAAAATTCCCAGAGCCAAAGAGAAGAGAGAAGAGAGAACCCAAAGAGAAAAACTCACTTTCTCTCTCTCTTTCCTGTTCGCAATGGTGGGTGGTCACTATGTAAATTGTACTGTTAGTTGATTTTTTTTTCTTTTTTTTAATGGTATTTTTAAATTACTTTTTTCCCAATTTTTGGCCTTTTTCTTCGATCTTTTTGGAGTATGGGAAAATGATTCTGTCAGGTGAAATTTTGGTGAATGGATGTGACTTATGTTTAACTCTGTTCTCTGATCTGCGAGCAGTGTACTCCAATTTTATGATTGTCTTTAATGGCTTTTTCAATATTAAAATTACCTTTAAATTGATTTAACTCCTTGACCACCCCATTAAACATATTTCATTAAATAAACCTGTGTCACTATCTAATATTTTCAATCCAAAACGTATATATTAAGTGGAAAGATATTATTATTTATAAGTTTTAAATTCATTTTTTTAATTTATAAAAAAGTGAAACTTATCTTAATTCAAATTTAATTAAATTTTAATATCTCATGAAATTCCTCATAAAAAAATAAATATATTTTATACTATTTATCAAGATTTAATATTTTTAACTCAAAATTATATCTATTAAGTAAAAATTATAAATTTAAAATTATCTTATTTTTTATTGATGTATAATCTGTGGCATTAAAATGATATAAAAAAACTATAATAAAAATTACTCTTCATATCACCTACAAAGAAAAAGTAACACATAAAAATGGGGCACCACCACAAAAACTATATGCCCAATTTAAAAGGGCATAATGAGTTAGGGTCAAAATTGAAAAGCCAAACTCATTAGGCTAAATCTGGATGTCGGTTTTGACTGACCTTTTGGCCCCATCATACACGTTTCTCCTCTCAAGTACCATTCATTCACAAACTACTGTCTCACCCTTTTTATTGAATAATTACAACTTTGAAACTATACTTTTTTTGCACATATTCATAGCTTTGCAGTATACCACATGCCAACTAGGCAACTACCTCCATCTATTCCTGTTCTTCATCATCAGAGTCTTGCACAATTCTACTCCTTTTGACCCTTTTGACAGTGGGAACAGAAGCTCTATCTTCAGCATCAGATTCAGACTCCTCTTCAGCTAAAGGACTGCCAGGTTGAGGTGACAGCACTTTCTCTGATCCATTTCCTTCATCATCTTCAGGATCATTGCATGATTCATTTCCATCTGCACCAGAGTTGTTGGAATTAGGGTCATGGTTTGGGGGATCTTCTCTAGGAACAGTTATTGGGTCCAATATTTTGAAGTCCCTTGAAGTGCTACGCTTGGCATGCTTCAATAAGTTGACCTTAGTTGCCTTGCTAAGTCGAATGAGATGTTTCTCGTAATCTTCTATCTGGAATATTAGGTCTGGGATGCATTTATTCTCCCTCTTGATCTTGTTTATGATGCCCTTGCTATTAGCATTTTCTTGTTGAGCCTGCAAGTTATTTAAAATTAAAAATGCAACTGCATAAAGGGCAAAATGCCAAGAAGATTCAGGTCCATACTTGTTGCATATCTGCCACAAAGTTATAGAGTGGATAGGTTAGCTGCTTGCAGGTTAGCTCCACGAGCTTCTGGAATTGAAGGCTTGGTAAAGGCTGCTTGACAGCTTTTGGAGCAATCCTGAGCTTTGACATTTGAGCTAAATGCTTGTAAAACCTTGCAGTCAATCTAAGAAAATGCTCTGCTTGACTATCTGTATCAAACAATGTCGTAAGCTCCAGTTAAAATAAGAGAAAGATTGAGGTTTAGATGTTTATGCAAAGTGCATACTTACCCTTGAGGCTCATCAAAACAAAGGAAGATAATACTTCAACAACTGCTTCGACCCTCGAGTAAAGATTTTCCTCAAACACCAACCCAGAATTATGTTCTCCATTCTGGTTAAGGTGAGTACTTTTCTGAGAGACTTGTAAAGCTGTCTTTAATTTTTTAGTTGCCCAGTCCATGTCGACAATGACAGCGTCAGTTATTTGTAGCAGACAAGAAGCTACAGCAGTGGCTGTTGACTGGTTTATGAGAAGGTATTCAGATACTTGCGATGAGTCACTACTGTTTGATCCGATAAATTTTAATAGCTCCTTTGACATGTCTTGCGCCACATGTAAATCAGTTGGAGGTGAGCTTAAACTGATGGCAAGTCTAACCATGCTTTTAGCAATGTTGGAGTCTGTTGTGTTGCTGGTTTTGCAAATATGAATAGCCCAGGCTGCATGAGAGTTCCTCCACTTGCAGGGCAATTTGTGCCCAATCATCAACATGACACCACAAAGAACCTGAAAATTAAAGAATTACACTTTGGTTGCTTCTATTCCTAAAAGTTAAAGTAGTTTAACCAAACGAAATAATCATATATACCTCAATATTGCGAAAAGCTGATACTTTCATGAGCTCAGAGAGCATCGGCTTCAAAAATTTCAGAATGAACAACTCTTTGTTTCTTACATCTTGGTCATCAATTTCAGAGGCCAAAACACATTCATCATGCAAACCAGCATTTTCAAGTTGGGGAACTGACAACAGATTTGCAAGCAAGCCAGTCAAACGGGAACTGCACAAACTGATTGCTATCATTTCCTTCAAGCAAAGTAATGCTAGATGGAGATGCTCCTTTCTTTCTTCAACATCTTTCTTTGCCTTGCTTTCTTTCTTCGTCTGACTAGTTGCAACATTTGACCCTGATTTGAGCGAGAGAGTTAAGCTCAGCAATTGGGACCCCAGCATATTGATATCCCCATATATCAATTTCTTCAAGGGATCTTCATTTCCCACAAGGGCTGAAGATTTTATATTATGAAGAGAAGCATTCAAAGCAAACGAAACAATCTTAAAACAACTTTTCGATGCTTTGCCCAAGGATGACTGGCTATGCCTCTGTGAAGTTGCTTCACTGTTAGAGCTTTCACTACTGCATATCTTCAATGCTATTTGCAATAGTTGATAGATGCTTGAAGTTGCCAAGAAAGGAATATGCTCTTGAATCAATTTGGTGTTGCCTGAGTCAGTGTTATCTGGTGTCTGAGTCAATGTAGCACGTAAATTCACTTTTTTGGCAACATTGCTTCTTGAAGTACATGCATCCTTTGACAATGAGTCATGAAGGTCAACAAACTCTATAAGCTCCTTCTCAAGTTCGACCTTCTTTTGATCTGTTGCTTTCTCCAAATCCATAGCAATGGTATTCAGTAGCACCTCTGCAATTCCTGACAAAATTAATGCACAACATTTTCTTTTCTCTTCATGAACAACTGTGGAGCTTGCATCGTGAGTTGGACCAAGAATTTCTGTTTCAATATGAAGACAACAGAAACTAGTAACAGGCAGAGGCACGAACCTAATTCAATAAATTGTAGAAATTAAACTACTGCATGATTCAGAAGTCCTGTTTTCTTTTCTTTCTATAGATCTTTTGCGTTTTTAATGTTCTGATAGAAAGATACGAACAATATAAAATGTAGATAAACTCCAAACCTTCCAAATTTGCATTCCTTAGAAACTTCCGAATCTTCAATAAAGCACTGGAAAACACCTCACTAGACAAGTTCCTACCATCCTGCAGTTGTTTCAGATTTATGGTGTGAGTGAGACCTCATATGTTACCAAGATGACTGTTAGATAAAAGATTTCATATATCATTTTTGATATCATGGATTAGATTTTTTATTTTTTATCCTCTTCAACGAGGAGAATACCTCATTCTCTTGTGAAAGGGAGAAACCCAAACATGGCCCGATAGAATCCAAGAGCTGATCAGTTCTTCCATGTGGCTGGAGAAGTAAAACCCAAGAGACACAAGAAAGAAGACAATCCAGGGGCTCCTGAATAAGTACTCTGCCACTTTCTGACTTAATACAACAGCTGACTCCAAGTTGGACATCTTCACCCTGCTGACATAGTAGTTCCAGTCAAATTATTAAATGCAGGATTTAATAGCTTATATAACTACACAAACCAATTCTCTCATATGCAATATGTACATGAAAAACACTCTGCCTTCTCCTGTCAAAACACTGGCATGGTAAAATCAAATGTAAGATAATGAAAGCTCAGTGTGTGAAATTCAGGATTACTACAAGCTTTAAAATAAAGCTATTTTGAAGTTTTCAGTAACTACCTCTTTGAAAAACTGGAGAAAATGAGGCAATAGAAAATCAAAGACAAGCCCTCCAATTGATGGATTTACTAAAATTAGCTTCAACAGTCCTTGATACATGACTTCCTTGACCTTTGCCTAAATAAGCAATTTCACACCAATTAGAAACGTAGTTCAAAAGGAACAAAAGAAGGATACAAAAAACGGTAAAGCAGTAAAATGACCAAAAAAAAAAACCTGTTGATGAAAACACCTCTGCAGCAAAGCACTCAATTCCGGAAAGAGACCTTCCCCCATGCTGCAGGGTATGTCAGCATGCTGACTGCAGCTGGCTTGGCTTGATGAGTCTTGGAAAGAAAACAAGCCATCCCTCTTATGTTGCTTCTCTGCCAGTATAAGATCAATAATAGAATTTGTTGCCGCAACACGAACTGTATCTTCTCTTCCAAACATAGCCTTCCGCACAACCAAAATAGTGTAATCCTGAAATGTCAGAATAAACAATTAAACAAAAGCATTCTAAGAATGAGGCAAATCTTTCACCTAGAGATCCAAGATTGATCTTTGGGGTCACAGATCACTAATCAGAAACTGAAACACAAGTAATAGATTTATGTGATGTAAGTTACATTTCTCTATATTAAAAAAAATTTGTTTCTTTTATCCACTACTGATTTATGTGAAGTTAAAGGCTAAAGCACCTTTGCCCATTAAATTGAGCATGAGAATGTTTACCTGAAGATCACGACTGAATCTGATGAGAGGCAATAGAGCACTAACAAGATAAGAGGCAACGTTTCCATCCATGAAAGTGAAATAATCCAACAACTCCTTCAGACGGGGAACGTGTTCCACCATGTGGTAAGGGTAACACTGAATAAGATGACCGAGCAGCCTGCACATCAAAATTAGTGCTATTCATAACCAAAAATAAATAAAAATGAATATTTTATATGTATGCGGTTACCTTATTATTGGCCTACTCTGTTCTGGCTTCAAAGAGAGAATGCGAAACTTGATTTGCTCAATAATCTGTGACAAACCCATTTAATCAATTACTACAGCATGCTCATAACAAAGAAAGAAAAAACAGTATCATTTATGATTTCAAGGGCAGAAGGAAAGCATTGTTCCTCATAATTATAATCAAAAGTCTAAAACTGAGGGTATGTTTCCAAACCAAAAGTAAGTACAGAAAAGGGCAATAGATCTTTTTTCAAACATTATTCATTTCCTGAAGGCAAATACTTGACGCATAAGCTTCATAAGAGAAAAGGGATGAGCATCAATGGGAAAAGAACAAACAAGATAACTGCTACAACCATGGAATGTAATATTCACAACCCAACAATTTCCATTAAACTGAAGGGTCATTGTTGAATTCCCTTTTTTTTTCATTCTTATCTTAAAATATTTCATGGTGAATGTTGGTAGCTTTATTAAAAAAATTATACAATATAATCATGATTGCAGAATTATACGAACCTCATTTCTTGCCATATCATGAACCTCAAATAGAGTTTTCAGCATCTGAATACCAAGCTCTTCAATGCCCAGGAGACCATTAGAATTGCAGAGTTCTGTGCAGTTTACCTCTCCAACTGACTCTAGCAAGATGAAACCAAACTGAACCATGCTGGGCACCATGTGCTCCCTCCCATAGTTGCTTTCATTTACCTAAAGACGAGCAAAATGATGCATAATGCGAATTTTAAGTATTTGATTATGCATGTGGTGGAAATCATCATTGACATCCACTAGGCAAGAGAAGGGAATTACAGCTCTTAACACAGACTTCTCCGCCACTTTAACACTCTTCAGATATTCTTCCTTCATATCATCTGGTATCCACTTACAGTCTCTAAGCGAATGAAGAAACCACATACATATTAGCATACTATATAAAGCGGAAAAGAGTTGACATACCCTGAACTATAAATGCCAAGCCATGTTAAAGGACAAGTTATGAGGTACACCAGCCCGACTAGAAATTATATATTGCTCAAGCAAATACAGACTATTGCTACATTTGGAATCTATAACAACAAGCAGAAACTATCAATGGTAGCAATTGTACTTAGGCTTACTACCAGTAGCACTATCATGAAAATATGAGATCGTTGAAATAGATCCATGAATATCAACATGTAATCTTTTCCTTTATGAATATTAACACTAACTATTATATCTCAGTGAAAAGTATTTCAGTTATGGATTTAAATCCTAAGTTTTGAGCTAATTATTAACAGCTAGACAATCCAAAAACAACCCAATTTTAGTTCTTAATAAGAAACAACATTTTGCAAGAATGAATTTTCAGCTAAAAGCACCCAATAAGATCATAAGGACCAGTGGACCATAACTACTATCACAATTTGAAGGTTAAATATGATAAAGACACCTTAAAAAAAGTAGTTCCTTACTTGGTAAATTTATAGTCACGGTAAGCTGTAAGCAGTGCTGTTTTCAAAATAGTGATGGAGCTCTCACTGAACCTTCGTACCCTCGACACCGACAATAAAACAGCCACGGTGAAATGATTGAACACTCTAAGATCTGTTTTGACTAACCCCATAACCTCTTTCCCCAAAGAAGGATCCTGCTTCACTGCGAAATTCAGATGCAACAGCACAGTCCCTTCAACTTGCCTAACGGTGTAAGTCATTTTTGAACCCAATTGAGACCCAAAAAACCACACAATCCCTTCAATAACCTCCCTTTTATTGAATCCTTTCGAAGCCAAAACTAACAACTGATAAACAAGTGAAGGCAAGTCCATCAAATCCACATTTTTAATCCCCACGAAAACTTTCTCCAAAAACTGCTTCCCTCTCAATTTATCTAGAAAGCTGAAATCTTTCACGATGGAAACCATTTTAAGCAACGACCCTTTAGACCAGTTGGAATCCAGAATCTTATCCACGACGGAATTGACAGAATCCCCACCTTTTTCCTCTGCGCTTCGAATCAACTCGAAACATTGGGGGAAAAGATCGAACAGTTGCGCATCGTCCACTGAAACAACCTCTGATAAAGTTAATACAACCGAATCGATAAACGATTTGAGGTGGTCAAAAGGGACGTGGACTAAAAGGGTGCTGAAAAAACTGATTGTTTTGAGGGAATTCGAGTCGTGGGGAAGCGATGGGAAGATTTGGGCGTAGGATGAGAGAAGAGAGGAAAGGAGAGAAGAGACAGAAGGGGTTTCGGGTGAGAGGGAAATGAGGGAGAGGAGAGAGTTAAGGTATTCGGAAACGGCGGAGGACGGAGAAGGAGAAGTGGCGCGTGAGTGGAGGTAAGAGATGAGGGACTCGTGAGACTGAGGAGAGCGGAGAAATGGAGGCAGCGAAACGTTGGGTTGGCAGTGGTGGCTGTTGGTGGGATGCTTTTGTTGGGCTAAACGCACGATATCGACGTCGTTTAACTGCGGAGCCGATTCCGTGGCGGCCATGGCCGTAATCTGTTGCGTTCTGAGAATCTCCCTCTTTCTCCATTCCTTAGGCGGGAATTTTGGGGGTTTTGGCTTTGCAATTTGCGCGGGAAAAGGGTGTTTCTGATTTTCCAAACTTTATTTTTTTCCTATTATAAGAATATATATATATTTATTTGATTATAATCATAAGATATTCAAGTTTAATTACTACTATAATCGTCCAGTATTATTATATCTAATATTCTTTCATTTAACTATAAAAATTTAATATACATACCTTATCCCAATATGATTACTAATAAAATGACGTGGACACCCATTAGGAAACTCAACTCGACTAGAATTTAATAATAATAAAATTTTATTTACATATTTTAGTAATAAAATTAAATTAATAAATTTAAAATAAAACTTATATTTAGATAATTAAAATTAAAATAAATAATTTATCAATTTGTAAGTAATACATATATTAAAAATAAAATAAATATTAAAAAAACATTATTTATAAATTATAATTGGATTCAATAAAAATACTATTAAATTACATCCTACTCTATCAAATCTTATATATAAATCATCTTAATTTTACTCTACTTGAATGAGTGGAATAATACCAAATGCTTATATTCATTGTACTCGCTATCATCTTTATCCTTACAAAGTAAATCGATCTGGGTCTAACCCCCAAGCAAGCACGGCCCAAGCCCATTATTACAAATTCAAGTTCCGGGTTCGGGTCACACCGCCCCCCATTCAAGTCGAGATTGAAAGCGACGACGCCGTCACGTGCAAGAACTTTGGAAATATCAAAACCCAACTTCTTTTCTAGTTTTTCCATCTAATCCGTTTCCCCGGCTAATTTTCGCCTACGATGCAGTTCAAAGTCTCACAGAAAAATAGCCGCTTAGAACTCGACACGTCATAGTTCTGTATCATTCTTTCAAATCCAATTGGGGACCGATAGCACGCGCTGCGAGGAAATGATTAAAGATACGCACCCCGTTGGGGTGAAGATTATCCACGTGGCCCTGCGTTGCGTCAGCAGGATTAGTTGTGATATTTAGAACTTCGAGATGATCGGAATGAAAAAGGACGAAAAGAGAAGCATTATCTTTTGGGATATTATTACTCGCAAGAAAGGTACGTGGACAACACCATTTTCCTAATGTACATTTGGCATGACAATTCAATTTACGTCAAAATTTTAAATATATGTATAGATATATTTATTATATATGTTATATGACATAATTAATATATTTATTAATATAAAATAAATTAAATTTAATATGATATAATATAGTCATGACACGATAAATTTTTAAAATATAATTAAAATAATTAATTTGTTTAACTAAATTTTATAAATAAATTAAATATTATATTACATGATTTGATATGATAATATAATTAATTAAATAGATTAAATGTGTCATATGTCGATTAAGTTGGTTTAACCTATTTAAATTACAAAACATAATAATTTTAAATCAAATTCATTTAACTTTATGTTATTATCACGTTACGTTAACATGTTCAAATTGACAAAATATATCTTCAATCAAAATGTAAGTTTTTTTTTTTTTACTTATGCAAGTTTAATACATAGAAAAATCTTGTGAATTATTATTATCTCAAAAATAGTACCTGAAATTTAATAATTTCATAACAAAATTTATATATTTATCATATTAATTTAATTATTTAGATTTGAATTCAATCAATAGAAAATCAATTAAAAAATAGAACAAATATATTAATTTAATAATGCTTTAGTTTTATTTGATTATCCAAAAGATTCAATTATTTAGTTATGTAACCCTTTTATTATTATTATTATTATAAAGAAACATGATTGATTGATAGTATAGGACAAAAATAAACCATTAGGTTATAGAATTTGATGTAATATAGTAATACTTGCTCTCTCTTCTTCATTCAATCATTACCAAAGAATAAAGACAATAAAAAAAAGTTAAATAACAAAAAGATTCTTAAATTATAATAAATTTTCAACTAAACTCTTAATTTTTTAAGATATCTAAACAAATCTTTAATTTCAATGAAAAATTAATCATTTTATTGATAATTTTTTCTCACATAATACATAAAGTAGATAATTGACATGGTTAACGTATTTAACCACATCAATGTTGCGAGATGTACAATATTAATTCATGTTAGTTTGATGGTAATTAATTTTTTATTATATATAAATCAAAATTTAAAAACTGGCATAGATAGTAAATAAAAAATAAAAATGATCATGAGTTTTTACTTTTAAGTAAAAAAATAGTAGGAGTGTGGTATTTACTCTCCGAAAAGAGCGAGTGAGGATCTGAATTCATCCGAAACCGAACCATATCATAGCAAGTGAAGCAGACACAGCGCACGGCAGCGGATTAAAATCTTCTAATCTTTTCCCAACTTTGGTTACCGTACAAACTTCTTCGAACGTCACTGTTTTCATTCTTACACGACACCTCCTCTAACTCAATAAATTGTCGCCCCAACGAACTGTTTTTCATTATTTCCTTCCATACCCAATTATTATTCTTTTGCTCTTTTAGATTACGAACTCGATCGAAGAAACGAAACATAAAGAACAAAAATTTCAATCACAGGACAAAGGGAGATAATGGGGAGCAAGAACGAGAGAAGAACAACGATAGAAGTTGGAGCTGATGGGGTTGCTGTTATCACGATTATCAACCCTCCAGTCAACTCTCTTTCACTTGACGGTACCCTTTTTGCAGATCTTCTTTGTTTTTCGCAGTTACCCTTTTCGTGTTTTGCTTCGTAATCCAAGTTTTGATATGGAGTTTCTTGGGGTTTCTTTGTTGTTAGTGAGCCGATGAATTTTTATGCAAATTGTTGGAAAGAGTTTTAATTTTTTTGGTTCATTAGTAAAATTATTTTGCGGGGTTTTATGCAGTTAGGAGGAAAACAGATGTATTAGTCAACTCGACATGTCCTAACAAAACAAAGTCAGACATGCATTTTTCTTGCAAAGATCAGAGTTTAGAGGTCTGATGCTTTTAAATGGATAAGTAATGTTCTAGACAATTAGTATTTAACTAATAGTGTCTTACATGATACTGTTTAGGTCCGATCACAAGTAATTCACTCTATGCTATTTAAATATTTTTCCTTTTTCCATCCATAAAGCTGTAGAAAACCTCCAGAATTAGCTACTATTATTTCGGTAATATGGATAAGGAGTGTTAGATTTTAGTTGAAAATTAAAAAAGGAAATGTTGAGCACGATCGGAGTTCAAAGCTAATTTTGGATCAATAAATGCAGTGGTTGGCCTGCATTTTTATTCCTTTAAAGAAAGAGAGAGAATTGTCCTGCATTTGCTTTGTTTATTCTTCAAAATTTGGCAACTGCCAGGCCATGATTTGGTCGATGAAAAATATTTTTATTTTCTTTCTTGTATTTTAAAATTAACTTGTAATAATTTTCTAAGAGTGGTGAGATATTCAATTGATCTCGTCTATTGGCTTTATGTGTCTTCCTCACAGTGTTGCAAAGCTTGAAAGAGAGTTTTGATGAGGCCTTACGAAGAGATGATGTCAAGGCGATTGTTGTTACAGGTAAATTCAAGGAGATCACCTTAAAAGTAAAGGAAAGTTGAGCAAAGATATTGTCTTTGTTGCTGGAGTTGTTTAATGAGATACTAATATTGTTTTTCCCTTGAGCAGGTGCAAAAGGAAAATTTTCTGGTGGTTTTGATATTACAGCTTTTGGTAAAATTCAAGGGGGAAATGGTATGCATACTAGCTCTTTTGTTTAAAGTATATGTTCTTATATTGCATCACATTGAGATTGATAAGGCTAGTTGTATTTTCCAGTGGAGCAACCAAAGCCTGGCTATATATCAGTGGAGGTTCTCAGTGACACTTTAGAAGGTAATGACTTGGTTTTAATTATTTTTAAACTGGAAACTATATCAAAGTTGTATGGAAACATGTTCACTCTAGATGCTTTGTACTTCAGCTGCAAGAAAACCCTCAGTTGCTGCCATTGATGGCCTTGCCTTAGGTGGGGGTCTAGAGGTTGCAATGGTAGGTATTGTTAAAATTCTTCAGACAATCTCTTATGCTGCTGCTCAGAAAGTTTAAATCTTATAGTGTCTCTCTTTCAGGCTTGTCATGCACGTATATCGACCCCTACTGCACAATTAGGCCTGCCTGAGCTTCAACTTGGACTAATTCCTGGGTTTGGAGGTATTACTAATAGGATGTTAATGCTGGTTATATTGTGTATGTGAAAGCCATTGGTTATTGAGGTGAACTAATTTGTATGTGAGGTGCTATGTGGTTATAGATTTCGCAAATTTTACAATTTTTCTCTTGACATGGATTGTTTTTCCCCATCTATTCAATATCTATGCAACTTCTTCATTATGGATTAGTACAACGTTTGTATCATGTTCTGGTGTCTTGAAGGTAGAGGTGGACTTTATTTTTTTTCCATTCTTCTGGCACACATTTCAAATATTCTACGCGTTAGAACATTGTGATGTTGTTATCAGAGAGGAGGAAAAAAATTGCATTGCAGTTTCTCAAAATATTTTTATTTTTCATGGTAAAGAAGCGATAGATGGCATCTGCGTCAAAGCCTTGGTGCTTGGACTGATGAGAAGCAGTGTGTGTATTTTAGTTTAGGTTTGGATAACAGATACAGAGCAGCACATATGTTGTTGTACTTTCACTTGAAATCGTCTTATTTTATGAACTAAGTCGTGTGGCAAAATTCTTATATGATATTTGATTAAATATGTCATGTTGGCATTATTTATGTTCTGCTGAGAGCTTTGGGCAGCTGGTTTTCTTCCCTACTATTGGTATTCTCATGCTCCTAAATTGGGTCAGGAACACAGCGGCTTCCACGTCTTGTTGGTCTCGCTAAGTCCCTTGAAATGATGTTGGTATGTGGTTAGATCAGCTTTTTGTATAAATCTGACTTTGGTATGATTTGATATGGTTACAATATTAAGGTCTCTGTTCATTAACATAGCATTTTCTTCTCTCCCCATCTTTCCCTTAAATAGACATCAAAGCCTGTTAAAGGTGAAGAAGCCCTTGGGTTGGGCCTTGTGGATGCTGTTGTTTCGTCTCATGAGCTGGTAAACACCGCACGGCAATGGGCACTAGCTATTTTGGAACGGAGAAAACCGTGGGTTGCTAGCCTTTATAAAACTGATAAGTTAGAGCCCCTTGGGGAGGCAAGGGAAATACTTAATTTTGCTAGAGCACAGGCTCGGAAGCAGGCGCCAAATCTCAAACACCCCTTGGTTTGTATTGATGTTATTGAAGAGGGCATAGTTGCTGGTCCAAAGGCTGGGCTGTGGAAGGTCTCTACGTATCCCAAGTACCATTTTACTTGCTTTTGTACTCACAGCTAAAATTACAACTTTAAATGGCATGTCTGATATTGGCAGGAGGCTGAAGATTTCCAAGGACTTCTCAAATCTGACACCTGCAAAAGCTTGATCCACGTCTTCTTTGCTCAGCGTGGAACATCAAAGGTTTGAAGGATAATTACTATTGGGAACTGTTTGTTTTTCATTTCAAATATACACTTGATAGATCTTGCAATTGTATGTTGATTAGATAGATGGTTTTATATGTTTATATTTCAGCTCTTCATTTGGTAGCTAATATAGTTAATCTTTTTTGCTTTTCATTTTGGTTAGTCTGATTAAAGAACAAACTTTTGATTAAAATCCTCCATCTCTCTCATCAATGATGTTCATAGTGCTTTGGTTGATTGATTTATTTTTGGATGTAGTTTATCTGGCTTGTAATTTGTAGCTCAAACTTGTGGCTCTCAATTGATAATTGATAGAAATGATTTGATGTCAAATATAATGACTCTTGAGCTTTTTTACATTACACTCTTCAAAGCATCAAGTGATCCAGGCCTTTGTAAAAGGTAGCCTGGATGCTACCACTAACCTTTGCTACCTTGTCTACTTAGCTTTTTACAAACACTTATGTCCTAGCTATTGACAGGTTCCTGGGATCACTGATAGGGGCCTAGTGCCAAGACGAGTGAAGAAAGTTGCTATACTAGGTGGAGGTTTAATGGGCTCTGGAATAGCAACTGCATTGATTCTTAGCAATTATACACTAATCCTGAAAGAAGTGAATGAGAAATTCTTGGAGGCTGGGATTGGTAGAGTCAAAGGTGAGACTAGACCTGCTTTATTTATTTTCTTTTCTGATGTCCAATTTTGATGTAGTTTACATTTTAGGAAGTTGCTTGTTTGTGAGATCCTATTCTTTTCTGTTCAGCCAATCTACAAAGCCGAGTTAAGAAAGGGAAAATGACTCAAGAAAAGTTTGAAAAAACTATCTCACTGCTTAGGGGTGTTCTTGACTATGAAAGCTTTAGAGATGTGGACATGGTCATTGAGGTAGTTAATGATATGTGTTATTCATTTTGCCTTTCCTACAATTTGCTATCTAGAGATTTAATATTCATAATTTGTTATAAACCTTGTGACAGGCGGTAATTGAGAATGTTACTCTGAAGCAACAAATTTTTGCTGATCTTGAGAAATACTGCCCTCCACATTGCATACTTGCTAGTAATACTTCCACAATTGATTTGAACTTGATTGCCGAGAGGACCAAATCCCAGGATCGGATTGTTGGGGCTCATTTCTTTAGGTATTATTCCAGTATAGTTGTCCCTGTTTTTCTGCTTCCTTCTGCTGTTTCCTCACTCAGATGGTTCATATATCAACCTTTCTATCTGATGCAGTCCGGCTCACATCATGCCACTATTGGAAATTGTTCACACCAAGCAGACATCTCCCCAAATAATTGTTGACTTGCTCGATGTTGGGAAGAAAATAAGGAAAACTCCAGTTGTTGTAGGAAATTGCACAGGGTTTGCTGTCAATAGGATGTTCTTCCCATACACACAAGCAGGCCTTTTCCTTGTTGAACGGGGAACAGATGTTTATCAGATTGACCGAGTAATTACCAAGTTTGGAATGCCAATGGGTCCATTCAGGTACTGGATTCATGTTTATGACATTTTACTACTGCGTCAAACTTTGATGTGTCAGTGAACCAGACTCAGTAAGTTTCTTATTTATGCAGATTGGCTGACCTGGTTGGTTTTGGTGTTGCAATTGCAACTGGCATGCAGTTTGTTGAGAGCTTTCATGAGAGAACCTATAAATCATTGCTTATCCCAATTATGCAAGAGGATAAGAGAGCAGGTATGATTTTCATTATTGGGCCTTAGCTGACAAAAAAATTACATATTCAAGCATATTTTGTTCATCCTGTTCCACTTTGTTTCAGGTGAAACTACTCACAGAGGTTTTTATTTGTATGATAATAAACGCAAAGCTAGTCCTGATCCTGAACTAAAGAAGTACATTGAGAAGGCAAGGAGCTTCTCGGGTGTAGCCGTTGACCCTAAGGTCTGTCTTCTCTGTGTTTGAAACTGTTGTGTTTGGTGTCGCTATTATTTTATTTTGCTTGGTGCTATGGTCACATCTAATACTGTGAAGGACAAGCCCCTTAATATGTTAATATTAACATTATAAAGAACAGAAAATCTAATTCTCACTCTCTCTCCCTTTTCATATGTCTCACTCTTTGTTTACCTCATATTTGTGGGACTACACTTGTATGCAGTTTGTGAAATTGTCAGAGAAGGACATTGTGGAGATGATATTCTTTCCAGTGGTGAATGAGGCCTGCCGAGTTTTTGCAGAAGGTATTGCAGTGAAAGCAGCAGACCTTGACATCGCTGCTGTTATGGGCATGGGATTTCCACCTTACAGGTTTGTAACCTTGTCAATGTTTTAATTAATCCTTCTGGAATTTCATTGATTTCTTAATATAATAAATTACTTTTAACTTTTTTAAGGGGAGGAATCATGTTTTGGGCTGATTCTCTTGGATCTAAGTACATCTATTCAAGACTGGAGGAATGGTCAAAGATGTATGGAGAATTTTTCAAGCCTTGTGCCTTCTTGGCTGAACGAGCTGCCAAGGGTGCTCCATTGGTAAGAAAACCTGAAACTGTAGATTGTTTGCTATATTATTTGAGTGGTGAATTCATGAGTTATTACGTGCATTATGAGGATTGTTTATGACCTACCAATTATTATTCATGCCACTATTTTATTATGGCGTTCCTTTTCCTCTCATTGAGTAGGGAAATTTGTCAACTGTTATCAGTGCAAGTGTCAGTCACTTGATGCAACATAGTTAAGTATTTTAAAGGATTGGGATGATGTATTTGTTTCGTTTTACAACACTGGCCCTTAATTGAAAAATCTATTCAAACAGTCTTTGTTAAGCAAGATTTTACTGATTGCTATTTCGCATAAACCAATTCAAACAGTTAAATCCTGTGCTTGTTGTGTGGCATGGAAGTAGTTGGCTGAAATTACCTGCCTTTTGCACCACAGAATAGGCATGGTCTATCAGTAAACTATATACTATATTAGGTTGCTTTCCATCATTTATCTGGGGTCATTACGTAGCTGATATTGCACACTGTAATTTCTTCAATCCTGATGATTGAACTGTTTCATTGCAGAGTGCACCGGTGGAGCAGGCAAAATCTCGATTGTAAGACTGATTGCTGCACTGCCCACTGCTGAAGATCTCCTATGTTTTCTTTTCGAATTTCCTTTTCCAAGGCTGGACAGATAGCTCAAGATTGAGCTGAATAATGTTATGAAATGTAAAATTTGAGGCGGCAAGATAAGTTAAAGAATGAAACATGGATAACAAGAAACGTCTCAGATGAATTCCTGAAAGCAATCTTAAAAGGTTAATGTGTACTATTCATCTTATATTGTCAACACTCAACAGCTGTAGTCAATTTTTCTATTATCTCTAGTAGTCTTTGGTTTTCTTCTCAAGAACCGTCTGTCTCGGAAATCCTTGATGTTATTCGTTTCTGCTGACCCCTTCCAGATTTATTCGATCTTCTTCACGATTTTTTTGCTATTGTTGCCTGAAAACCCTGGATTATCCTTTAACCCATGTATGTATGCTTGGTTTAATGATATGATCACAACTCTAGCCTGCCTTGAAAAGAGAATTGAGTGACAGATGCTGCTCAAAACAAAGAAATTATTGCAAACAATGGCCCCATGTGGTTGCCCGGTTAATGGTGTAACTCTTATCTGCCAGCTGTAAGTCTTGTTAATATATTGTTTTCATGGGTCATTACTGCAGGGCCTCTGCTTTGGCAAATGAAATAGACAGGATGGGATGCCATATGAGGCAATTATGAGGCTAGAGAGCCATGCCGCTGTCCTTGCTGTCCACTCCACATGAAGTTCTTAGTCTCTAGCAGGAACAATGCGGAAGACCACAGAAACCTAAATTAAATCCTTGAATACTATTTATTTTCTTAAAGTAGGAATACACACACGTTCATTCACAGATGCTACTAAGATGACAGGACAAAGAAAGGAAAGACAAACTTGGAGAAAACCCTGAAAAAAAGCCACCCGATGAAACCATGTATTGGCAAGGTCGAGCTTGAAATAAATTTATGTTCATAAGTTCACCAAATGCTAGAAATAATCCCTAAAAAGAGATGAACAAAGATTTTGGCTACACCCAAAAGGCCAATCTACATCGAGAAAAAGCCCCAACAAAGTCTGAACTCAGATTCCAATCAGCATTTAGTTAAAGCGAGTATCCCCATGCCACCACAAAACAAAGGGAAGAGCTCCAAAATTCCTGCAATTTCTTTAGGGGGTTGTCATAAATTTTTTATTTTCAAAGCTGTAGGGCCCCTCTTGATTAGCACCATAATTATTTGTTAATTAATTAATCCACCACAGTACTCTTTGTCTGTGGGGATTTTTGTAATCAAGAAATGGAAGAGAATGGTAGCCTTGGTGCAAGTGGGTGAGCATGTGATCCTCGTTTCAACATAAACTATACAACAACGAGTGATACAGAATGAGAGATTTCAGTCTTCCAGGGCCCTCATTCTTTGCCTCCTATTATTATATACCTCCAAAATCGAATTTCTCATGCGGATTAGATCACATTTTACCATTTTTCTAGATTTGTAATCATGTTATCAGTCTTTCTTTTCTTTTTACGGTGCTCTTCCTTTCCACCTTTCAAAAAAGAGACGAAAAGAGTATTAATATTCATGTGATTCTTGTGTCATAAACTGTTTGACAACCTTATATCATCCACTACTTTTTAACAGGGAAAATATCATAGGGACCTAGCCATATGGCAAACTTAAACTGCATAAAGTACTCTCCAAGGAGTATCATCTTCTATGGTACAAAATAATTGCATCGAGTTGGCAGGCTTTCTAAATCTACCATGTATGGCGCTTAAAAAATGGTGTAAAGCAAGACTAATTCCCCCTCCTTTCCTTTCTTAAGCTAGCTTCCCCAATCTTCCCTTTAATTGTCAAGCATACAATCTTCTTTTTGCCATTTTTTTCCCAATATTTTCACTAGATATGGTTGGGTCAAGTTTCATTGTGGGTGTTGTCGGTAAGGCACAAACATCGGTACTTTACTTCTTTTAGTTCTTTACCTGTACTATAAATTTCTCATTCTGCCAGTATGAGTTTGACTGTTTAAGCTTCTGATCATGAGTAGATCTTTCTGCAAAGATACATGAAATGAAAGTCTCATGTTTTGATTTCTTCATGCAGGCAATGTCATCTCAGTTCTGGTTTTTCTGTCTCCAATGTAAGCCTTCGTTAGCCGTATATACCCTTCTCAGCTTGAAACGTAAAAATAATAAGATGAAAATGGCTGATTTCCATGATCTAAAACCTAACTCTGGGTTTGGTTTTGTTTCTGCAGTGGGACATTTTGGAGAATAATAAAGCATCAGTCGACAGAGGATTTTGAGAGCCTTCCATACATTTGCACACTGTTGAATTCATCCTTGTGGACTTACTATGGAATCACCAAGCCTGGAGGACTCCTTGTCGCCACTGTTAATGGCTTTGGCATCCTGGTCGAAGCTGTCTACGTTGTTTTGTTCCTCATATATGCACCAAAAAAGATGAGGGTAAACTTAAGATTTTCTTTCACTTTTCTAGAATAGGAGAAATCTCACTGTCACTTACCCTAGTAAACTCTTGGCTTAATCTTCACATATTTCCAGGTCAAGACAGGCATTCTCGTAGGGATATTAGATGTGGGTTTTCTAGCAGCAGCCATTGTGGTCACTCAGTTAGCATTGAAAGGAGAAACTCGTATCGATGCAATAGGCTTCATGTGCGCAGGCCTCAACATCATCATGTATGGCTCCCCTTTGGCTGCCATGGTAACAACCCCTTGATCTTCTCTATGCTTTGCCTCATTCCCAGATTTCTTTTAATGAAAAGATTGAAAATCCGCAAGCAAAAACAAAAAATTAATCTCCTGAATTAGCCATTATAAGATATATACAGCATAAACATCTCTACTACTATAAATTACGATCTCTACTATGTCTTCTTAAAACTATGTTGGAGAAATAAGTCAATGATTGTCAATACAACGAGTTTTTAAATGAAATATAACTTTAAAAATATCATATTAAGCAAAATTTTCGTCTAAATTTGCTGTTGTCTTCTATCATCCTTTTTCCTTTTTGTCTTCGGTCTCCCAGTTTTGATGAAATTTCCACCATAACAAGTGTTTCCTAGTGCACCAAAAGTGTACATTATAGTTGTTTATGGTCAACAGCTCACCCCAGCTGTATATAATAATAGTAAACATTTCTTTAAGGAGTTAGGTTACCAAACCTCTCTCTCATATTTATAAATTAAACATCATAAAACGATGCAATAATTCGATGAAAAACTAATCATACAAATAAAAAGGTAACATCAAAACAATCACAAGGTACTGGTTACATGTTGGGACCCATGATTGAAATTAGCTCTCTCTCCGCTTCCTTCAGTTATTCAAAAGATATTTTGAGCAATTGAGGTAATTTCCATTGCCAATTGGGGTTTGCATTTTGCAGTTGTGCAGTCCTTTTACACGGACAGGGAAAAATTGTACAAATGAAATAAATCTATAGTTCTTGTAACTGCTGCTTGCATCTGCTCCTTCGGCAGCTGCATGAGGGCCCTTTGCTTGGCCTCATCTTAGTTTAGCTTTCTTTTTCTTGCCTTTGCCTTTTTCTAATTTTTCCATTTCTGTTTTCGGTGGATATATAAGCCAGTTTACATTCTTTATTAAATATTTAGATAATTAGAGTTAGAGTTTATTAATTTCTTTTTTATTAAGTTTTGTATTTTATTCACATTTTGTCACTTCAAAATAGACGAATTCTCATTGTTTATTAATCGAGAGAAACTCTTCAAATGCAATAAGTTGGGTTTCAAACCCTCATTAAAAAACCGTATTTTACACGTTAAAAAACTTAAAATCTTGATTAGAAATGTGATAAATTTAACACATTTTTAGGAATACAAATGATTTAACAGGTGAAATTGCGAAAAACCATTAAGTTCAACATTGACAAATTATATATAGAGAGGTGGATTTTAATGATCTTTTAATTACTACTATATTGGTTTCAGAAAACAGTGGTGACTACCAAGAGTGTGGAGTACATGCCATTCTTCCTCTCGTTTTTCCTTTTCTTGAATGGAGGAATCTGGGCTTTCTATGCTTTGCTCGTGCAAGACTATTTCCTTGGGGTAACTTCTCTTCCCTTCCATCATCATCATCATCATAAATTCATAATATAGTAATATTATAGGGTCTTATATATATATACACACATAAGATTATATGTTTATTTTGTCTTTGGTATAGATACCAAATGGGATAGGTTTCCTACTAGGAACAGCACAGCTTTTGCTCTATACCATTTACAGAAACGGAAAGCCATCATCAAACAACATTTCAGAAGGATTAATGGAACAAGGATGGCAAAAGGAGCCCCTCATATCGCCATTGCACTAGCCATGTACTCATATGCATGCATGCAAACCGAATGGGATTTGGGTTGGTTTCCCACTACAACAAAATGGCTGGAGGAATGGTACCACCACCATTGCCCTATTGTGAGACTATTTCAGGCTCAAAGGGAGACAACAACAACAAAAAAGAAAAAAAAAAGAAGAAAAAGCTTCAATCAAAGCAGTAGCATCAATCATAAATATTAAATGGCTTGTCGATGTTTTATGTAAACAAACTACTATTATCATAGAATGGGTTCACCTATACGACAGAGAGATTTTTTGAAGTCCTAAAGTTTTTTTTTTTTTAATTCAGTTTATTAGCTTATTAATTTGTTTAAACTGATACACGTACCGGATTGCATCTCTGTTTAATTAGAGAAAAATATTAATTATGATGCGTAATTACGTAAATTTCTTATTTTAATTATATGGGAGTTTAGTTTCTTTATTTTTTATTATTTTTAAAAATTTTTAGCATACACCATTTCCTAATCTATGGCTGTACAGTTGGGCTAACAACTGAAATATTCCAACCCAACCCAACCCAACCCAACCCAATTTGACCTAAGATTGGGCTTTGCCCATAACATGTTAGGCTTAGAGCTTTTTTCAATCATTTCAATCTCTTAATGTGAAGATCCACACTTGTCCGAATTCTTACTTTCTTTCTTCGGGTTGCCGGTCCAACTCCTGCCTTATTATGTAGATTAAGCTACTAAAGGAATAAGGTTCAAGGGCTTAAGTCTTCATTATTTGTTTATTTAACTACACAAATGATCATGAAATATCTTAACATGCACACATAAAATTGTTTTATGCAACTAATAGATTTTAATTCGAAATTAAAAAGATGAAGAGATAAAATCGAATAACCGAACACGATAAAAAACTAAAGAGTAAAAACCCAAAAAGTTTCTTAATGTTGCTGATTCATCTGCAATGAAATTAACTTATCGGAGAATGCATTCGAAAGATAAACTCGAAATGAAGCTCCGATTTTGTTGCTTTAAACAAGTCAGCATTTCTTCTTACTCAATTTTTTTCTTCTTCTATTTTATATATCCTTGACCCCAAAACAATAGTCCTCTCTTAGGGTGCTTTGCAGTTGTTGCTCACCTGTCCATGCAAATAAAACATTTTGTTTCATCATATGATATAAAAAAATGAAGTAAGCATTTGTTAACATGGTCGTGCATCTGTGCCCCAGAAGTATGCAATGTGCCTTAAAAGTATGAATGGTCCCCCAATTTCACTCCCTCTATATATATATAACTGTAGGACTGATGAACCCTAAGATTTTTCTTGTCCTTATCTGCTGAATATTAGAGTACAAGGGCAGCGGCTTAAACCCTAAGCAAAAAATGGCACAAAAGCACAAAGATAATATTCTAAAAACCAAAGCAGATCCATTAAATTGTATAATAATCTAAAGATTCAAACACTTTTGGTTGGACATATCACACTTAGTCCAAACCTCAATCACTCTCCCTCTTTCTTTGATTCGTCTTCTTCCTTATTTTATGTAATGATTTGTTGTCTTAGTTTCATGCTTCATTGCCATGATGGATTGATCATGAAGTCTTTGTGGTTGGTATGTAGTATATATTTTAATTCTTCATAAAGTTATGGCTTTGTCCACATTTTTTCATTTTTTCCATGGTTATATTGGAGAATTGTAGAGAAACCCAAGCTACTCATAACTTCATCTTTAATTTGCTCTTAATTTGTTACGCTTTTGAGTAATTGTATTTATTAATAGAAGCAATGATGGGTATTATGGTATAATATTCAGAAAAAAATTTTAACAAAACTTTATTTTACGATTATGTTCAATAAAATTTTTATACTTTTATTTTGAATTAAATATGTTTTTATGATTAATGATAGATTAATTGTCAGTAGTTAAGTTAGTATTATGTGAAATAAAAAATGATAAATGATATTTTGATTAATTAATACAATTAATCAAAAAATTTATTAAACTTAAAATAAAATATGAACCATCTGTTATGAGTTTTTATTGACCGAATCCTTTGCAGATCTAAACGTTTTAAATCATAAAAAAAATACGTTCAGATTAGAAACATTGAAACCGACTTTGGGCAAGAAGAGTTAAGATCATAATTGAGAGAATTATGGTAATTTGAAATCGACCTCACAATGTAGATCAACAATATCATAAAATGGATCCTTTGAGAGCACGACATGAGCATCAATGCATCTCCTAAGGGAAATAAATCAGTCCCATGGCAAGGACAAAAGGCATGTACGAGCCGTTCTATATATATATATATATATATATATATATATATATATATATGATCAAAGCAAGCAAGAGGGGAACGTCGATACATCAATCCAAAGGAGAATCGAACAAAAGGGGATGAAGGGCTAGGATTCGGTAATCACGATCGAACGGCAGGAAAGGGGAAGCTGTGATCAGAAAGAGACGATGGAGTAAAATCCAGGGATGGAGACGATTCACTATTTGGGATTCAATCATGTGGTAACGGAAATAGAGACTCGTACCCACCATTAGCTTCCATTAATAAATGCAAAAATCCAACTAAACCATGTAATACTCTTTAAAACTTAGCTATTCGGTTCACCCCTTCCACGGGGTGCTCACAAGAGACAAAAACAGTGAGGATCTCCATGTGCATCTTCATCCAACGGTGGATAAATTTCGATCAAGCTTAGCCTAACTATGATCTTCCCGTTAAGATCAAATTATATGTACTGTTGATCTCTCATTCTCACCCACATTGCCTCAAAATAATGTACTATTGTTAACGGTTCCTTTTGGATACATCTTGTCTGCATTTGGTTCAATAATAAGTATGTATCCTTTTGTTTACATAACTCGAAGTATTTTATATACGTAAAAGTTTTGACACAAATTTTAATTTTAAAGAAATTTCGAAAATTTAAATTGAAGATTCCACGACAAAAACAGTGAAGATCTTCGTATGCATCTTCATCCAACGATAAACAAATTTCGATTAAGTTTAATTTAACCATGATCTTTCTATTAAGAATAATTATGTAATATTAACAGTTAAACATTTGATTTAATGGTAAATATATATAACTTTCTAATTAAAGATGCTTGAGTCCTTCCTCGACCCAATATAAGAAAAAGCTTTTAGATAATAATTATTGAAGTACTTGTGTAATTGGAAGTATTAATGGTGTAATTCAAATCGGGTCCTGATTCCAATAGGACCATTGAATAACTTGTTTAGGGTTTACCAAAAGATTTTATGCTAAATTTATTTTTGAATTAATTTAAATAAAATAGACACGTTACACAATAAGTTTAGATGGAATCAAAACTTCAGCAAGTTTGGATGAACTACTCAAGAGCATTATGTACAATTCTACACGTGACACAGTCATCACCCCCTTTTTTAATCTTTGTCTTTTGTATTTATTTCCATTCATAACTTTGTTTTAGTTTTTGTTGCATTAAATGTGTGACAATGAAAACTAGAACTATGGGTACATTTCCATTATTTATTGTAGTCTCTATATATAGGTGCTTTGTGCAATCACTTATCCTTTTGCTGTAGTATTTCATCTTCAACTCTTAATTAATGCAAAAATGAAAAATTGGGTATTGATGGTTATGCTGTCAAAGATTGGAGGATGAGCAAAAAAACAAGTGGGATCCCCACCAATGTTAGAAGATTGTGCATGAATCCAGCAATGGACCAATATGTCTGTGATTGCTCTGATTATTTTCTCACCAATTCTGACTTTCTGAGGCTTTTCATAGCGGCGTGTGAGCGACTGAATGAAAGCTCGAGAACTCTTAATCAGATAGGTCACATACACGTATGTATTAATGGAGTAAATCGAGTCATACGCTTGGCAGAAGGTTGTTTTCAATTCTCATAATAAATGCTGCATAGCAATACAGATAATTGAGTCCCACCAGGGAGATTCTGTTCAAGTAATGAAAAGGATGAAGACGTTTGGTCAAATACAGTTTCCCCAGGGGGTCACCGTGGGCCTTGCTTGCTTGGCTTTGCTGCCGCTATCTACCAGAGTCTTCTGGTTAAGCAAAATAGTCACAGTTTTTTCCCTGGAACCAGGTTTAAGCTAAGACACAAAAATTTCTTTTCCCTGTGGACCATTAAACTACGCGGACTTATCATTATATCACTTGAATTGGATTAACTCGAGCCATGGAAATCCGAAATCTATCAATGCCAGGGGTGAAACTACTGGCCTAATCATTGAAACAAGACTCAATACTCTTTCCATAGTTCTAAGTTTCATGGTATTCATTGTCAAAGTGTCATCCTCATCCCTGGTGAAGGGGTAAGTCCTTTTTTAACAGTCCATGAACTTTATACTTGTGGGAACACAAAAATATTGTAGACGCCACTGACCACAGTACTGATACCGGCGAGTGACTCTTGATGGAGGGAACTTGACACGTAGCTTTGGGAGGAAGGGCAGCCAAATAGTAATAATCTAATGGCAGAAAGAGGGAATCTACTGTCCATCCAAGAGAAAGCAGAAGCATTTTTCTCCTTCTAAAAATTCTACTAACATAAAAAAGAGGGCAAGCAAACAACTTTAAAAACTCCAGAGCAAGCTCAGAGTACGTGAGAGGGAGAGAGAGAAAAACTTTTGTAGATTCTTGTGCTGGTGCTTTGAGGCAAAAAGTTTAGGGTTTAGCTTGTCTTTGTTATACACTTTATTTAATGTATTGGTAAGTCAGTCTTGCACGTGCTCCTGGGGACTCTCTCCCTTTCAGTCCTTCCGCTAACCCCCCTTCCCCCTCTTACTTCAATGCCATTTTTTTTCCCACTCAATTACACTCTCTGACCCTCTGCTCCTCTTCTTTTGTTTGCATCTTCCCTTCTCTCTCTCTCTCTCTCTCTCTCTCTCTCTCTCTCATCTCTTCTTAGCAGGAAAAAAGTGACTTGGAAAAGAAAGCCACATCTTTGACATGAAAAGAGAGCAATAACAAGGAAAAGATTTGCAGCTTGGAGAATCTCAATAGATATTGCCTTCGAAGATAACATGATGGAAGGAATCAAAGGAGGAGGAAGGGTTGGTGTTGGTGAAGAAGATATGGGAGATGGCATGCAGTGCAGTGATCATCCTTATAGAAACAACCCTGGTGGGATCTGTGCATTTTGCCTTCAAGAAAAGCTAGGGAAGTTGGTTTCTTCTTCTTTTCCTTTGCCTATTCGTGGGTCATCATCATCTTCTTCTTCTTCTCCTTCTTTTAGATCTGATACTGGTGCCGTTGGTGCTAGTTGTGGCAATGGTGTTGTTGGTACTTCTTCTACTTCGCTTTCTCTTTCTCTGCCTGTCCGTCCAACACCAACAAAAAGTAGGAATGATAATGGCAATAATAGTCATTATCAAGAATATTATACAAGGCGGGCCAGGATCCCGTTCCTTTCGGCAAAGAAGAAGAAGAAGATCATGGTGGCATCATCAGACCATCATGCTGCTGCTGATATCGTTTTTAAGAGAAGCAAGTCCACTACAACTCCTAGGAGAGGCCGTTTCTTGGATGCTTCCGTGGATGATCGTGAGGACTCTAGCCCCAGGAAGAGAAGTGGCTTCTGGTCATTTCTTTATCTTTCTTCCAAGTCCCATAGTACCAAAAAGCTAGAAAAAATTGCTTCTTTAGCAGCACCGGTAGTAGCTGCAACAACAGCAACGACAGCAAGAGCAACAACAACAACAACACCAGCAGGAGCTGCAGCCAGTAGTTCTGTTGTGAAGCCAAAGGAGAAATGCTTGGGATCATCATTGTCCAAGAGAGGAGGCATTGTGGTCGTGGAGGATGATGATAGTCCTAATAGTCAAGCTACTCCCTCTGCGTCATCATTTGAGCGCAAGGTTTCAAGATCCAGATCTGTTGGTTGTGGAAGCAGGAGTTTCTCTGGTGATTTCTTTGAAAGAATCTCAACTGGGTTTGGAGATTGCACTCTTAGAAGAGTGGAGTCACAAAGGGAAGGCAAACCAAAAGTTGCTGCCTCATCATCTGCAATGAAAGAAAGGGTTAAGTGCGGTGGCATTTTTGGTGGTTTCATCATAACCTCTTCTTCGTCATCCTCATCCTCATCTTCTTACTGGGTGTCGTCTTCAGCTGAGGATGTCAATGGGAAATCAACGGCAGGGACTCTTGTTCATGGTAGGAGTAAGAGTTGGGGTTGGGCTTTTGCCAGCCCCATGAGAGCTTTCAGCAAGCCTTCTTCTAAAGATGGTAAGAGAGATACCATCATTAGAGAATCAAACAGCAAGAACACAACTCCCAATCTGGCAGCAATTCCTTCCTTGTTGGCTGTTAGAGGCTAAAGAGAAGAACTTGGTGGTGGCTCTTGATTTCGGTTAATACACATTACATTTGGTTACCTGCTTATTTCTGTGTTTATGATCTTTCTTGGACTCCATTCCATTAGTAATGTTACACTCTTTTTCTTTCTTAATTTTTTTTTGTTTCTATATATCTGCAAATAATTCTGTTTATAGATTAGTTGCCTGGTCCTTACCTCTGTTGGGTAACTGAGATCAGCACTGATGGAATACTACTATCAGAACTCAGGTGAGTTAGGCAAAGTGAAACTGGTTCAAGGAGGAGAAGATACTGGTCAAACAAATTTATGATTATCTGTTCACTTTGTGATCTGCAGAAGTTTTCTGTTAAAAAAAATTGTATTCTTTAATCTTTGTAGTGTTTATTTCTAAGTTGTACCTTAATGTAATGGCAGAGAAAATGTGGGTTTTTAATATTCTGTAACAAGTTTTTTCCCTGATCACATGCATACACATGTTTGTTGGTCTTGGACACACTGGACGTTCTAATACAAACATATTTATTGCTTGGCTATGTGTAAATGGGAGTACTAGCCCCATGTTAACATCTCCTTGACTGTTCGATTTTTATGGGCCTATGTTAATTTAAAAACCATCAAAAGATTTGTTGTTTTCAGTATCATTTATTATAGGTTTTTTTTTACCAAACAAACAATTAATATTTTGCCAGCTGCTTCAACCTCTGTGTTTTCTGTACTAACAGCCTAAAACAT